AAAAGAGTCGATCATCAGATATTGTCCAAGATTAACCTTCAGGGTTGATATAGCTCACTAGCAGCCTCGCACCGATGACCTATCCATGTCATCATTTACCCAGAATGCTTTGTGTGTAAATAAAATGGCTCCGTCCGTGTTAAAATATATTTTTAAACATAGACGGAAGACGTGTTGTGACTGAATTTTGACCATTTTGTGGTTTCTAAGGTCAGCTGAATTTGGCGGCCTACTTGAAATCGTCATTTTAATCATCCAAAGACCCCCTCACCTTCTGTCTTCGAGGGCGATAATCACTTCCATGTAAAGTTACGATGAAGCGTGAATCAAGTTTTTCATGTCACTCTGTCTAATTTGTAACATGCCTGTGTGAGCGCAGAAGYGTGCTCCTTGTGGCTCTGAAAGCAAAGTTAATGGAGATATGAGCGAGCAGGAGCCTGGGAGGTGGGGAGGAAAGAGACAACGCCAGTTTAAACTCCACGAAGCAGATCTCAAACAGGAAGRAGATCAGGAGGGGAGGCTGACAGAGAGTAATGGAGGCAGGAAACAGATGGAGGCTGAATTCATTGAATTACGTCGCCCCGTCTGCAGAGAAGGCGTGAATAAAGACGGAGGAGAGTGGTGGAATAAACTGAAAGGCATCATTTAACAAGCTAACTCCAAATTATTTCCATATTATGTCTTTAAATTACTGTGAAGCGAGTACTACAGTCTGCGTTTCTTGTCATTAGTCTTAGGTGGCAGAAAAACAAGTTAGTCCTCCTTAGGCTGCAGAAGGAAGAGATTGTCTTACTTTGAACACAAGATGCTTAAAGCTGATCAGTTTCTGAGTTTTACAGTTTATTACAACGTTTATTTTGGTCCTTTTTTCTCATTTAGCGGTCTATTAAGTAAGTAGTCAGAGTTGATTTTTGTATATTTTGTGCAACTACCCAATAGTAGTCTGTTGCATCTGTGAGGCTTACCAACAGTGTCTGAGCTGGAAGCCAAGTTGAACAATGAGAGCCAAGCTTTCGGTTCAGCTTTGCCCGACTATGAGCCTCAATTCAACTGTGACATCATTTATCAGCAACTAGGTCTCCACAGATGAGATGTCTTTGTAAAAAGTTTTTTTTTTTTTTTTTTTGCTGTTTCTGAAAATATCTTTGTACATATTGCTGCATTTCTACACCATGCAGTCAAAATGTTGGCTGCAAAGCAAAAAAAAGTATTAAGCAAAATTGACTTTTTGAGCTTTATATCACGCTATAAAGTCATCCCCTCATCACAAACATACCCAGAGTTTTGCTTTGACTTTTTCATACAGGAGAAATCCTTARATCTCCTGTGGTAGCCATGTGGAGCTGCCTAAAAGCTTGCTGGTACAAAGCTCCGCCTATTTATGCACAGGCTGAAGCTCAGTCTGCAACCCCTCCCCTGAAGCATTATTGTGAAAATGTTATGAAGTGGGAGTGTTTGAAATGGTAGAAAGTTATTAAAGAAACAGGTCAATTTCAAGGTGTTTAGATTTAGACTGAGATGATGCAAAATCTAATTTATTTTTGACCCATACAGCATTTTCATAACAATTGAAGGTAACATAGTTACTTGAGTGTGGTACAGAACTGAACTATGTGCATGGAAAATACAGTGTAATATATACACTCACCGGCCACTTTATTAGGTACACCACGCTAGTAACGGGTTGGACCCCCTTTTGCCTTCAGAACTGCCTTAATTCTT